GTCAGCACCTTAGTAAATGTATAGAGAACAGTATAGAGAATGTGCATACTGATGTTAGGATGGAGAGAAATCAAATGTTTAAACCTTTTCTATAACATGTGACATATGAGTGAACAGCCAAGCCAACAAGGTCCTGTTACATGCTGGTAGTTCTGCTAACAGAAGTTTGGCCTTCTCCAGTTGATCTTTTCTTTCTTGTGTAGCTGTAAATAATATTTTGACAAAATTTTTATTTATCAAATATTACACATACTGAATCAAGGTAATTATTTCAAGTAATTATTTTAACAATCAAATCTAATTTCAGTGAAGATTGGAGGATTCATTTCAAAAAAACTGACCACAAGTACCCTGAACTGGTTTTTTTGGTTAACCACTGTTGGTTTGTAAAAGTTGCCCTTCAAAGGCACTAATATCGGTTTGAGATTCATCATATCCACTGTGTAAATGCATGCCTTTTTTTTTTACCTGATATTTCATTGAACTTTGGAAGCAGTGCAGAGGTGAGTATATTTTCAGGTAATTCTCTGATGTACAGCTTGATCAGGCTGGTCACAGCTTCAGCTTCATACTCTGTGAGATCCACTGACTTTCCTAAAAATAAAATGTTCAAATTATAAGGCATTAAAAAATACAAATATAATTAAATGTTTATTTAATAAATATTATCAAATCTAGTGTGGAGACTTTGTAGTATGGCCCCTATACATTGATCCTTATACACTTCCCAAGAAGGAGAATTTGAGAAAGATGTCTTGTCACGAGCATGGGAAAAAGAAAAAAAAATGAATCTCCATGAGGAATTGAACCTTAGACCTTCGGATCCTGCGCGCCAATGCTCTACCTCTAAGCCATAGAGACTCTACCGTAAGGGAGACCTATCACAAAGTTCATATATGACATGCATCCTGCATACTGCTAGGATCAGCAATGTTGATAGCGTCATATTTGTAAATAAAATAAAAGAGATGGTAAGTTTTAAGCCCAGTAAAGAAGTATAGAAAGGTGTTTTTCATCTTGTTACAGGCATGGGACAAAGAAAAATTCTGAGTCCCCATGAGGAATCGAACCTCAGGCCTTCTGTGGATTCCCTGTCCCGATGCTCTACTACTGAGCCACAGAGACTCTATGGTGAGCAATTCCCATTACAAAGTTCATGAGAATTTGTTTCACCATAAAGGGCTTCTTTAGCTGGTGATCATTTCTTTTATTCTCATAACTTGTTTTATTTGGGATGACACTGTAAGGAGAAATAAGATGCTATCTTAGGGGTCAAGGAATCCATTGCCATATGCCACAATCGTTGAAGAAATGGGAACATACCTTGGTCATACAGTTCTTTTAAGGTGTCCACTTTAGACTTCATTCCAGATACTCTGTAAATCCCTTCAATTTCCAGACCTGAAGATCCAACATTATTTTTAATACAAAGTACATTAAATCCCGTGAAAAACTTCATGAGCTATTGTTAGGCAGCATTTATGGTATAAGCCCTGCCGCAGATAACTGTGTCACATTAAATAACATTGAAAAATTTAAACATAATTTGTAAATCAAATGCTTGCAAAGTTTATTTTAAAAGTCCACTCAGTCTTATCTCATCATCTTACAATTTTCTTCAATGTAAACGATCCCCTCTCTGAATACTCTTGGCAGTTCTACTCCATCTGGGAACCTGGATTGTTTGACTGCAACTTCCAAAGGAACTCCAAACACAGCCTTCCCTTGGAGAAGAGAGTACAAAACTAATGTAACTACCACTTTATATTTGTAATAAACTCTCTCTTCAGTTTCCAGGTAGCAAGTGCTTCAGATACATGTACAAGATATTAAAAAAAACTATTAAAAAAAAAAAAAGCTAAAAAATTAATTCCAACCAGAAAAATTGGTTTTTGTGAGATATCAAATTAATTCTGTCAGAGTCATTGATGAATGGAACTAGACATATTAGTAGAGATTGTGAGGAGAGAACTGACTTGCACGTGATTGTGTAAAGATTTTCTTTCCTCCTCAAAATTTTGATTTCTTTTAGAACATAGATATTAATACCTAAATGAGATCTAATTCAATATCAAAAATTTGTTTCTTATGTTATACATGATCTTTCAAGTAGTTTGGATACATTCTGGTTCAAACATGGTTACATGAACACCATAATTTCTTTGCCCTTTTTTTCTGAAAACAGCTTGGTCCTTGCTTACTTGGTGCCTGAGGAGGTGAGAGTGTTTCTGATTTCTTCTTCTTTTTCTTATCCTTTTCCTTTTCTTTGTTTTCTTTCTCCTTCTTCTGCTTTTTAGGTTTTATGCGAAGAGCCAGTGATCTTGACTTTTCTCTCTTCACTTTCTTGCCTTTAGGCCTTGAAAATTACAACAAAGAGGCACAAAGAACCATGAGACAAAGACAATTTTTCAAACAGTATTCATCACATACCATAAAAAAACCCTCAGAAAAATACTTAAATGTTGAGTATAATTCACCTTTTAACCGAAGAGAGTTGATAACATCCTCCTTCAAATTCTGAAGAGTTTTTTAATCTCTTTGTAAAGATGAAACAAGTTTGCCTAATCATTATCAGTTTTCTCCTTCACCAAAATCAAACCTGTGTGTATGAATAGTTTTTGTCTCCTTCCATGTCACAGGAAAGACAAAATGCATACATTTACATATTTTAACTCAGCATGTCTGCTTAGTATTGGATTTCCTCTGGGGAAGTTCACTATTCATCCTATGGAAGTGATTAAAAGTAACGTCTCCCTCAAGTTGCAATGCATTGCAAAGTAAATGATTTATGGGAATAGATATTCTTTTCAGCAAGACAGTGTTTTCTTGATGAAATAACATAATATCCTGAATCATTTTGAGAGAAATGTATAGCAGGTGGAAAGCAGAATATCATTCAGATCTTTGGACTAGAACTCTTACCATCTGGATTTATAAGTACATGTGCTTGGGGATAAATCCATATTTATATCTCACTGCAGCTTGGGAATGAAAAAAGCAGTTTAAAATATATGAAAACAAATTCAAATTGAAGAGTATTTGTATATGTTGCTTGGTTTCTTGTTAGAGTTTGCTCTTAGTTTAGGAGTGGCCAGAAAAGAGCTGAGAACAAGAGGAACCTTTGTTCACACTAACACCTGTTCGGAAAGCTATTGTGCGCCGATTTTATGAATGGAAACGACGAATGATTGCTTTTTCTTTGTTTTCGTGGGTACATTCATTAAATCAGCAATACTTTTGCCGCTTTACTTCCTGATTGACAGGAAAACGGATTTAAATATCACGCCGAATCAATTAGGGATTACACTCGCCGGAATCCCTTTGAAATTCACTGAATATTTTATCGTTATCACATTAAATGTTTTAAAACAAAAATGACCCAAAAACTGCTCCATTAGCATGTCAGATTCATCCAATATCATGCTCTCGACGGAGTGCGATTAATTAGACAAAATAAGAATTGATAAAAAATTATGTGGAGTAGAGTTACAAATTATAAAATAATACTTTCCTTTCAAATTTTTTTACGAAGGGCGAGGCGAGGTCAAAATATTGATTCGTTGAGGTGTTCAAAATATGTAAACAAAGTTCGTTCTAAGGACTCTGATGACATATTTCCTCTAGCATGTAAAACTGAAAGAGTAAGAAATAAAAGCGATCAACAACCAGAAATTCAATGATCATTTACCTAGACTCTTCTTCCTCTTCTTCGCCGACGCTGTCATCGTCAGATCGAAAGGCCACATACCCTTTATCTTTCTTGCTTTCCTTTCTCTCATAGACGTCTTCTTCACGTTCAGCCATCAAATCCGTGGCTGATATATTCTTAAAGATAACAATCGAGAGGGACAGGGATAAATTTCAGCCAGAAACTACAGCAACTTCGGCAGATCTCCAATATTTCAAAGACAATTTTACTTAATCCGCCATTACCAGACTAGCTTTCCCCAGGTCGCCGCGAAAAGAAACTCCAAGGCTAGGTTACTAGGCGGTAAGTTGTTATGACAACGTAAAGTTTCGTGCGAAACACACGCTTTACTGTTGTCGCAAAGTTTTTACTAATTTTTTACCTCATCAGTTTTAGAGACTTTCAAAATCTCGAAAAAACCTTACTGAACGTTTTTCTTTTATAAGCTGAAAGCTAAACATCAAGTTTGAGGCAAAAAATGGCGAAGTTGGATACTAAGAACGATTTGAATCGCGTCGGCTTGTTCAGCGAGCTCGGCTACATCTCAATTGGTGATCCGTTCAAAAGGAAGAGCACAGGTAAGATTTTCAAGCAACATCCTTGGTTGAAATGAAAATTTGAATCAATAAGTAAAGAGCTGCAGTTCAAGAAAACTACTAATTCTACGTAAAATAAACACGCAGATGAAAACCCTAAATTACCATAAGCGTTGGAGATACCTCAGTAAATTAATTTGTTGCAAGTGAAAGATTAGGAAGCCTTTTTTCCGCTGGCAAAAAATACGAAAGATTTTTTTAATGCATTATGGACATTAGAGTTGCAAATCACAACATCCCTCTTGAAGACCTTAAAACGGGGAAAACAGCATCATGTTTATGCATGTTTTTTTTAACTCTGTGGTAAAATATTGCGGACGTAATGTATATTGAACCTTTATTGACCGAGTGTGCTTGTTCAATCATGGTTAAATATTCACTTTTGGTGTTGTTATGGAACTTGACTGGCTAGTGGTCAGAGAGAGGAACTACAGATCAAAGAGTCAGTTTTGAGTTATGCTCAGATTGCTGATTGGGTACAGACAAACTGTCTAGGGAACCAGACAAATGTTGGCAGTGAAAATTAAGGGGTAACCCTGCAAAGGGCCTGCATCCTATCGAAGTTAGGTGCAGGGGGGGTACTACAGGCAGATCCTTCTAGCTCCTTCACTGATTTTATTTTTTATGTGATACTTTCACCATTATTTCTTTTTCCAAGAATTCAACATGGCTGCTCATAAAGGAAAACAAATGCTACCTGGTGGGAGCAAAACACGATCTGCCCTTCAGGCAGGATATTTTGATCAGAGATTCAACAGAGTCATGGAAGGGGAGGCCTTCACTGATCCTGTAAAGCGGCGTAGACAGGACAAACTAAAGAGCAGCAAGCTTAACATAGGAAAGGCTTTTGTTCCAAGTAGTGGAGAAAAATTACCGTAAGTTTATGTGAGGCTTTGCTGCAATTATGCAAAATGCTCATTAGAAAAGTGAAACCTTTAATATAGAGGCCTTGTATTAACCCTGATAACTCCTAGAAGTGATGAACATCTCAAATCTCCTGAGAATTTCAATACATCTGCAACAAATTGGTAATAAGAACTGAAGGTTTGATCAGTTGGAGAGTGTCATCAAGATCAGTTTGTTTCTTTTTGTATCCTTTTAGCTGCATATTGTATGGGAATTATGAGATGCTTTCTGTTTCTCTGTGATATAACACCAAATTCTAATTTATAAAGAAATATATAGCGCCTGGAGGGGAGACATGTCAATCAGATCTTGGGATTTTAAGGGTTATACTGATGGAAAGGGATAATCTTTAAAATTTTGTCCGGAGTTTTTCAACATATACAAACAATGCAATTTAACACCTGAAATGTACCAAGTTTCTCTGCTTTCGTGATACCTGTACCATATCTCATGCATGGATTTAATTTGAAGTACATTTTTTATTGAATGTGTGCAGTTCAGGAGCAGGAAATCATTATGGAACTTTCAGTGGAGCCATTACAGCTTTTAGCCCTGTGTCCAAGGGGAAAAAACCAACAGAGTCTGCTGGAAAGAACTTCTTGACAAACCCACCCAAGAAGGGGACAGGGTTTGGATATCTGAATGTGACAATTGGTGCCCCACCCAAGTACATGTCTGATGCTTATGAACGTGCAAGAGAGCTGCGAAAGGTAACTGGCCTTATTGTTAAATTAAACTACCTGTATTCCCTCTTGTTCAGAAATCACAGTTAGCACAGACCTTAATGTTCTTGGTGGCAACAATGTACATATATTTTTCCACTGATTTCTGTTAACTTTCACCATGAAATTTGCTCAAAAAAGAGAGGAGACTTTGCATGGCCATTATTAATTCATTCTCTTTAATTTCAATCTTCCAAAGCAGATAGAGCTTTCCTAGATTTTGAGGAAAAAAGAGAATCTGTGCCTCAAAACATCTATTAGATCAGATGTTGATGGGCTCATTACAGATTACTTCCAGAATTTCCTCACACCACCCACAGCCCCCCTTCCCCACTAACAATGCACAGGTATTCATTCTGTGTACAAGCTGGAGATCTGTTTTTCAACTGTCTTGAAAATCTAAAGGTGTCCCCAAGTGTAATCATGGTGGGTTCCTTGGTTGTCCCAGGATAAAAATTTCACATCTTCCATTAAAAGAAAAAATCCTGACAGGCACAAGCTGATGTAGTTTGTACCACTCTGTATGACCCTTTGGGTAAATAAGCACTTAATTGCGTGCTCTAAATGATATTTTATTGAATAACTTTTTTAACAGAAAGAGATGGAAGGAAGCCTGAAAGCAAGAAAGGGAGGAGCATATAAACTAAATCTTCATCCCAAGGCCTATTTTGATGGAAATCCCTACAAATCTGACAGACGTAAGTGATGAATATTCATTGCCTTTCAATTAAAGGGCTCTTGAATCAAGTTTTGTTAAAGACCTTAAAAACATGTGCAAAAGAGCACATTACACTTTCCAGATGACAAGAGCAATAAATTGGTTACTGGACTTATCACCCCCAGAAGCACACTTGTGTAGATTGTGTAAACTATTGTTTGGAATATGTCAGTTTTTGTCAATTTTTTTCAAACTCAAATCCTTAATTTGCTGTGTGTTATTTCAGCTCTTCCACCTGTAAAAGAGACTAGAAAACCCCCAGAAGGATTGAAGCCCTTTAAACCCAGTTCTCCAGCAAAAGAGGTAATTAAACTGAATCACTAAATGAAGAGTTTCTCAGGCTGATCCACGTCCCAGATGGATCTCTTCTCAGTTTCAGTTGCAAGGGGCATTACTTCACAGGATTGGCATTCTTCCAGGAAGGAATGCTAGTCCATGGTTGCATTAATCCTGTTAGACTATGAGTTGGAAATTTGAAAGAGTTTTGTGACATCCAATAAACTCTGGGAAGTGAGACTTAGCCCTGTAAAGGTCTAGTTCATTGTAGACTTTCTGTAGCTTGATGAAAGAGCATTGGAGTGCAAAATCCTAAGAGGGACTCAGAATTTGTTCTTTGTCCCATTCTTGTCATAAGATAAAAAACACTTTTCTCTTCTTTTACAAGTCTGACAATTTTCTGATTCTTGCTTTTTTAAGTTTCTATTCCTCATCATTTCTTAGTGGGGAAACTAGGATAGGCTCAATCAGAAATGGGCCACTTGGCTTATTTGCCTTCCCCCTTGGAAAGTTTACAGGGAAACAAGAAATCTTTCCCGAACAAAATTCGACAATGTTGTTCCTTTTTTTTTTATAGATTGGTGGTATGAAGGCTGGTTGCTTTGACAGTTACCCATCTCACTCGAATGATCCTTATGTGGTCAAAAAACCAAAAGGTAGTGATGGAATAGAGAAAAGGATCTTCAGACCCTCCCAGGGACCAAAATCAACACGAACAACATCCATCATAAATCAAAATGTAGAACGACGCATCAATAACCTAAACTTCAGACAACCTATCACTGTGTCCATATAATTAGATACACTTGGTAATAATTATGTGAAAGCAAAAAAGTTAATTTTGTAAAGGCTAGTGTGTGTTAATTCATGTATTGGGTTTAGCATGTAAGAACAGAAAAGCTTTGAAAATAATGCAAAGTTAGATTGTATATCCAACGGTTTTACTGTACACGGTATATTTCAATTTTAAAGTGTGAGCAGTTACATAAAGAATAATTGATTGTAACACTGTAAATTAAATTTCCTTTCTTTTTTATACCAAATGGGCCAGATACTTGATGAGGTTGTCAGTTGTAACAACTTCAAATATTTTAGAGAACAATTGAAACTTGTGGTTGCATTTCTGTCACTTGTCAAAAAGGAAGGATCTTTTAAAACTGACAAGTTAATTATTTGTCTTTTGAGTTCTTATGGATACTGTGTGCCTGCTTATCTTCTAAATACGGTAACTATTAAAACTGTTAATAAAATCTCAATTAGTTTTTTCTCAGCTTTTCTTGAGCACATAAAAGAATGTGTTGTTTATTTGTCTGTTGTAAGATTCTTTCAGAATACATTTTTCTATGAATTTGATCAACCTTCCTCTTAAGAGGAACTCAGAACCACTACTATAGCATTTACTATAGCATTTCTCTGAACCTTAAACCACCCATAAATACACCTCAGGCAAATGAAGATTATAAAAAGTCTATACACTCATGTTATTTTTCATCAATATATTGCTAACAAACCCCAAATATTCATTACCTTGTTATCTTAGCCAATAAATAATTATGGAAACTATTAATAATTTAACAAAATTATGACAACAGTATGCACATTATTGACAACTATCCTGTCACCAGAACTTGTTTCAGCATTATACTTTGGCCTGGTTTCCATTTACTTGTCCTGGTCAAGATGATCCAGACAATCAATAGAAATCAGAATCAAGAAAGAAACTTATTTATTACAAATGAAAAATAGCAAATTTTTAGTTTGGCAAGACAGTAATAGAGCCAAAAATTCAAATCTAGTTTATATTTCCTCTCAAGAAATTATCTTATTCCTCTTCTGTAAAAAATACTTTGCTTTCCTGATTTCCCCATCCATTTCACTTTCACTTCTGTCCAATTAGATCTTAAATGTACCATAATTTTCTACCAGTAAAATCCTTGGTCTCCTTTGCAGTCTTTGTTTGGTCACAATACACAACTTTGGCCAATGAGAAGAGCAAATGTTGTGTCATCACACTGAACAAAAATTGCAAAGGAGATTATGATATCCTCAAAGGATTGAAATAAATAAATGTGTGTTATTTTGAATTCAAGTGCTTGTTTGCCATGGCACTTCCCATTGATCAGATCTGGTCAAAAAGGAATGATCTGGTTATTTAAAGTGTTAGACTAGATGGAATTAAGAATTCCATTCATTGTGTGTAAAGGCATGGGAGTTGTGCTCTCTTGCATTTTCAATACCAGAACAATAGAAAATTCCATTTGCACCACCATTTCCAGTACTGGGCAAGCAAGTATTTTGTGCACAGGCATAAAAAGTGACTAGCCTTTCTCAAAAGATTGGATTAGTTTGACCATGACTGGTACTGTCCGATCTTAAAACTGACATGTTCCTACCTACACACAGCTGACATGTTCACCTGGCCTGCCTGACAAACAGAAAGTTTCCCTAGTCTTGTTTATCTCTTCTAAACCACTGAACAAATCTCCGCCAAGGAATTGCTTGTATTCTGTCCCAAAGCAATTCCTGATAGCTTGACTTGGCAAACATAAATGCACCAAACATCAAAAGGAACAGAGAAGAGAATATTAAATAGTAGTCTGTTTCTTCAGTTGGTTTGTTTATCACTGGACCAATGTAATCTTCCTCTGAGATCTCCACACTGAAGTTGCCCTCAATACCTTACAAAAAATTATGGATCTCAATCAAATTATTTATCTATTAAGAAAGTAAATTAGAAAAGACATTAAACTGATGAACTCATGGCCCTGAGTGTAACTGCAAAAAACTGTACCTTTTTTAATTGAAACACCTCAAATGCTTCCAAGTGTACAAGAGAGAGGACTTTTTACAAGTTTTAAGAGAACCTCTTGCTGTGGAATGATGAAAACTAACTCCACAAATTTTATTACCAGTCATGGATGTAGCCTGATGACATTTACCATGGTTGCAGCTTAATCCTTGGGGCGACAGACCCTCAGATCAGTTGCATGATGAAGCCAAGTCCAAGGGGTGGTGATGGATTTCTTATGCCAGGATTCATTCAAGGGGTTTTATTCAATAGACAGCTATCACATCTGACCACCCATTAAATAAATTATTTTTTCATTTGGAGAGGGTCAAACTGGAAATATGTCTGCATTTATAAGGTCAACCAGGCTTCAATCACTTATTTTAATTTACAGATCCCATTCAGTTAAACAACAAGTACACCTTGTATCAAACTTACCAGTGTTGTTCTTGACAAACATTCTTAGATCATCCAGGGTTATTGAATTATTGAATTTCAACACAGGTTTTCCAGAGTGAAACAACAAGATGGTGGGAACAGCAACCACTCCAAAACGAGTATTCAGACTAAAAGGAGCACAATAATGTTATTCAGCTGATCACCAACATGCACTAAGCAGTGAAAAACAACTACAAAAATGCCCCCCTTAAAGGAAAAAAGGAAGTTTCCCAGAAACCATTTAACTCTAAAGATTTTAGATATAATTCTCTCTATTACTTGTTACACATTTCCTTCTAAATTGGTTGTGAGAATTTGGTGCTTTATGATGATAACCCTCAGGTTGATTTGTCTATTCTTGTCAACTTGTGCTTTACTGGCTTTGGGTATTTAAACCAAAATGGGTCCTTTTCTCTAACTTTTCACTCCCAAGATTTCATCTCCCAAGATTTTGTAATTCTCCTAATTATCTGCCAGACAATTATCATTATGTTAGTTCAGAGAATTTGGTATTGGATAAGCCAATAATCCCCTAATTGGGGTTGATGTTGGCAGTAAGACAAATTTGTTGAGTTCTTTGTTCTAGGTAAAGGAATCTGAAAACCCACCAGCAGTTTGTTATCCAAACTTAACCTCACCTATGTTGTTTGTAAGCATCCACTGCTAGAATGGGTAAATTATTGTACACTCGTCCCAGAGCGTTATACATCGGGGCAAGTTTTGCACTAAATGGACAATACTGGGTGAAAAACAAAACAACTGCACAAGCATCAGTATTATTATCTGACGTCGAATTAATTATCTTGAGCAACTCCTCTGCATCAACTATGGCCACACTCTGTGGTAGGGAGTCATTATGTTGTGAATTGTTCCTTCCCTTACAAAACCATTTTGGAGTGGTTGTAGAGTTGACGACTTCAATTTTATGTTCCGTGGTGTTTTCAGTTTGAGGCAGACTTTCATTTAACTCCGTTTCATTTGCAGCTATAACCTCCGTTTTGCTTGATGTTTCATTTATATTGAATATTTCCAAGATGGTGTCATTTTCTCCTCCTGAAACGCTGTTTTCGTCAACCATTTTTTCATCTGAAAAATACAATATGATTTCGGTTTGCAAAGATTACAAATAAACTTACAACCACTCGTACAATGTTTTAATATTCCCAGTCAGTTCGCCTATTACCTTCAACTGAGTCATTCCCTGATAAATTTTCAGCTTCCTCTGCCAAGGAACTCACAAAACAGATGACAAGTAAGCAAAAAACCCAAGTCACTCTATCCGCCATGTTTCCACTCTACAGCGAGCATGCCTGCTGCGACAACTCGCTGACCTCAGCGATCTCAGCGATTTTTTTATATGAAAAAAATTTGGATTCATTTCAACATCATAGAGCCAAGTATTTAGATAAAGATTCAGGGGAAAGAAAATTGGAGTAGAAAAAGAAAGAAAGGATGATAACAACTGAAAAAGGAAAAGTATTCATTGCAGCCCCTTGAGAGATTTGAACTCTCGACCCCTGGTTTACAAGACCAGTGCTCTAACCACTGAGCTAAAGAGGCTCGCTCGTCCGAAGTTGATAAAACTTTACATAATTATACAACCTTTACACGTTATTTTGCATTGCATCATGGGTTTTGATGTTCTCATATTATCATTTTTCAGACCATTGTAAGACCGTGTAACTTTAATTGGTGGAACAGATCAATTTTGACGAATTTTGATCATTTCATGACCTAAAGAAAGGCCTTTACGGTATTTACTGAAATACTGAGAAACACGTTCAGAGAGCTGTACCCATCTTGTATTGAGCCGTCCGAAAAACAGGAGAAGATATGATGTTTAAGTGATGACGTCAATATTGTTAGCATATATCGACCAAAGTGGTAAGAAATTATAAAATTAGGTTCATCCTCAGTGTAGAAACCTGTTAAGTTCACGAATGACGTAGAACAAAGAACATAAAAAAGTAGAAAAAGTCTGAGAAATTGATAAAAAACAACAACAATAAAAAACCCTCAGGTGCCTACACCAAGGTAAACCCCGTTTCATCAACAACGCAGCAAGTCCCTCTCCTTTTAACTATCCAGCTTCGGCCAGTTCTGTTCAAACAGTGTTCTTCGCCTAAGTAAATTTATAATGATTGATTCATCCTCATAAAAGACGTTCATGGTGTTGTTTTATTCAAACATTCTTTCCACTCCTGGGGCGTTACCAAGGGATGTCTTGTTTTATCGATGACTTCCAAAAGCATAACGCCACTCTTTTTCCTAAAATGTCCCCTTTCAAAGTTTTCAATTTAGTTTTGATTTCAGGAACACTGTTATATTTTCTTCTTTATGTTCTTATGATTGGGCATTTACCGCATGTGCCAGTGGTGAAAATTTATTTTGAAGAGGAACCGTCAGAAGGTGATTTAGCTTATTTTCCAAGGGATTTTACACACGAAACGTCATTGAATTTTGGAGCTGGAATAATGAAAGATGACGGATTGAATTCTTCTTCGACGCCAGAACTTTCGGTGAAAGATGAGAGAGCGTCTGAAGAATCAACAGGCGAAAAGGATAATTCTGCAAAGAGAAGTAGCCTTCTTTCATTTCTTGAAGGACTAGGGGTTCCTATAAACAAGGCCCGTATTTTAATGGCAAGCGATATTTCAAACAACGTTCTTCCACGAGTGAATCCAAACGGATTTTCTTTGGCAAAATTGATGGAGAAAATGGACAAAGAATTTAACCTGGAGAGTGGTACACCGTGTCCCACCAGTCACCTAAATTCAGGTAAGTTCAAAGAATATAGGAATAAAAAA